CATTCCTGGGGCCCTCGCTGTCCTGGGGCCCTCGCTGTCCTGGGGGGCTGACTCACTCGGGGGCTCCCTGTCCTGGGAGCTGACTCACTCCCGGGGGTCTCACTGTCCCAGGGGGGCTCCCTGTCCCAGGGGGCTGACTCACTCCTGGGGGCCTCGCTGTCCCGGGGGGCTGACTCACTCGGGGGCTCCCTGGCCCGGGGGTGCACTCACTTCCCCAGATCGGGATGTCTCTGCTCTCCGCCTTCATCACGATGGAGGACATGGTCATGGTGACGGGGATGGCGTCGAAGTAGGAGGAGTGGGGCGCCAGCGTGAGGATGGCAGCCTCGGTGGGCAGTGCCCGCCGCCCCTTCACGGCCACGTGATGGAAGCCGCCGGCGAACCACATGGCACGCATGATGGCCTTGAGCAGGACGTCCACGGCTCTGCAAGGACAGGCGCTGCGTCAGGAGGGCGGGAGGGCAGCCGGCATCGCCATCCCCGGCCGCACGTGCGGCTGAACGTCTCCGCTGCCTCACCCCGCAGAGTCCCGGGTCCCCGTGGCTCCCAGTCAGGACAGAAGCACAGGCCATGCTGTGGACCTCTGCCCCACGCTGGCAGCCCACACACGCTTCCAGAATTTTCCAGAAGGCATGGGGACTTGCTGGAGAGGGTCAGAGAAGGAAAGTGACAGCATGCCCCCGAGGCACGGCCTGCTACAGTGGCCTCTTCTCCGTTCTCTCGGTGTTTCGGACAAACACGCCCCCGTGGCCAGTAGGTTTCTGAAGCCACTGGGTCCGGAACTCGGACCATGCAGTCAGCCACCCTCACCGGCAGGGTGCCCTGTCTGAGACGCACCTTTCATCTTTCATTCAATGGAACTGTTTCTTGAGACAGATTTTTGCCATAGGGCATGTATACTCGCCAGAGACAGAGACAGAAAGTGAGAAATCACCCCCCAGGTGGGCTGGCCACACCGCAATCCCTTCTCCTCCATTCTCCCTGGGATTTTGGGCACGCATGCATATGCGCCCAGCATTAGTTTTAAGCCGCTGGGTCTGGGACTCGAACCATGGGGGACAACATGGGAGTCCAACAATGTAACCAATGTGCCATCTGCTGGTCCAACTGAACTTCTAAACACACTTTTCTGTACGTGTGTTATTTTTCACAGTAACAACACATGGGAGAGAGAAGTCCAGAGACAGGGGCCGACACACAGGCAGGGGAGACTGGGGCGGGGGGAGAGCGGGGGCTGCCAGGGACTGGCGCCCACCCCGATGGGGAGGTCAGGGGACAGGCGCCCACCCCTGAGGTGGAGGTCAGGGGACAGGAGCCCGCCCCCGAGGTGGAAGTCAGGGGACAGGCGCCCACCCCGAGGGGAGGTCAGCGGACAGGCGGCCACCCCGAGGGGGGAGGTCAGGGGACAGGCGCCCACCCTGAGGGCGAGGTCAGGGGACAGGCGCCCGCCCCGACCGGGAGGTCAGGGGAGAAGCAGGGGGAAGGTGTGGACTGAGTCTACTGCAGAAGCCTCCCGACGAAAGGTGAGATAGGACGCAGGAGAAGAGGCGAGAGGGCAGGGTGGCTGCTCCAGGGCCCAGGTGGGGCAGCGGTGGAGGGCGGTCCAGAGCGGGGCCCAGGTGAGTCTGACTAGGGCCTGTGACCGAAACGTGAGTGAGAAAGGCGTCCTGAGCCTGGGGGCCTGGCCCGGCCGGGGTGGCGGAGTCTGTGGACAGCGGCGGGCCATGCCAGTGCGGGCAGGAGACGCTGTAGCTCTGCTTTGGACACCTTGCGCTTGAGCGTCCCAGTTAGCAGAGGCCCAGGGATCAGGCTGGGGGGAGTCGGGGTGGCAGGAGTGTTGGGGCTACAGTGAGGACAGGGGCTGTGAGTGGGGTTTGGGGCTATAGGGGGGCAGGGCTGTGGGGGCAAAGGGCTGTGGTGTGGGGGCAGGACTGTGGTGGTCGGGGCTGCAGTGGGGGTTGGGGATGTGGAGGGGGCAGGTTCGAGTAGGGAGTGTCAAGAGCGGATGGCGCCAGGGACAGTGTGTCAGAGACACGGCGGTACATGCCCAGCCTGCGGTGAGACCCGTGAAGGAACCCGTGGGGGGGG